GGTCCATGATCCGAGTAACATTGCTTCACATTTTATACCGGTACGGATTTCGCAGCTTCCCGGGCTCACAAACGCCCTTATATGGGGACGGTTCTTCGTGCGGCGGGCCCGTTTGAAGGAAAAAAGAGCTGGAATCTCGTCCCAAGGTGTCTAGGATTGTGGCAAACACGATCGTGCTGGGCGGTCCATGATCCGAGTAAACATTGCTTCACATTTTATACCGGTACGGATTTCGAAGCTTCCCGGGCTCACAAACGCCCTTATATGGGGACGGTTCTTCCGTGCGGCGGGCCTGTTTGAAGGCAAAAAGAGCTGGAATATCTGTCCCAAGGTGTCTAGGATTGTGGCAAACACGATCGTGCTGGGCGGTCCATGATCCGAGTAACATTGCTTCACATTTTATACCGGTACGGATTTCGCAGCTTCCCGGGCTCACAAACGCCCTTATATGGGGACGGTTCTTCGTGCGGCGGGCCCGTTTGAAGGAAAAAAGAGCTGGAATCTCGTCCCAAGGTGTCTAGGATTGTGGCAAACACGATCGTGCTGGGCGGTCCATGATCCGAGTAAACATTGCTTCACATTTTATACCGGTACGGATTTCGCGGCTTCCCGGGCTCACAAACGCCCTTATATGGGGACGGTTCTTCGTGCGGCGGGCCCGTTTGAAGGAAAAAAGAGCTGGAATCTCGTCCCAAGGTGTCTAGGATTGTGGCAAACACAATCGTGCTGGGCGGTCCATGATCCGAGTAACATTGCTTCACATTTTATACCGGTACGGATTTCGCAGCTTCCCGGGCTCACAAACGCCCTTATATGGGGACGGTTCTTCGTGCGGCGGGCCCGTTTGAAGGAAAAAAGAGCTGGAATCTCGTCCCAAGGTGTCTAGGATTGTGGCAAACACGATCGTGCTGGGCGGTCCATGATCCGAGTAACATTGCTTCACATTTTATACCGGTACGGATTTCGCGGCTTCCCGGGCTCACAAACGCCCTTATATGGGGACGGTTCTTCGTGCGGCGGGCCCGTTTGAAGGAAAAAAGAGCTGGAATCTCGTCCCAAGGTGTCTAGGATTGTGGCAAACACGATCGTGCTGGGCGGTCCATGATCCGAGTAACATTGCTTCACATTTTATACCGGTACGGATTTCGCAGCTTCCCGGGCTCACAAACGCCCTTATATGGGGACGGTTCTTCGTGCGGCGGGCCCGTTTGAAGGAAAAAAGAGCTGGAATCTCGTCCCAAGGTGTCTAGGATTGTGGCAAACACGATCGTGCTGGGCGGTCCATGATCCGAGAAACATTGCTTCACATTTTATACCGGTACGGATTTCGCGGCTTCCCGGGCTCACAAACGCCCTTATATGGGGACGGTTCTTCGTGCGGCGGGCCCGTTTGAAGGAAAAAAGAGCTGGAATCTCGTCCCAAGGTGTCTAGGATTGTGGCAAACACAATCGTGCTGGGCGGTCCATGACCCGAGTAACATTGCTTCACATTTTATACCGGTACGGATTTCGCAGCTTCCCGGGCTCACAAACGCCCTTATATGGGGACGGTTCTTCGTGCGGCGGGCCCGTTTGAAGGAAAAAAGAGCTGGAATCTCGTCCCAAGGTGTCTAGGATTGTGGCAAACACGATCGTGCTGGGCGGTCCATGATCCGAGTAACATTGCTTCACATTTTATACCGGTACGGATTTCGCAGCTTCCCGGGCTCATAAACGCCCTTATATGGGGACGGTTCTTCGTGCGGCGGGCCCGTTTGAAGGAAAAAAGAGCTGGAATCTCGTCCCAAGGTGTCTAGGATTGTGGCAAACACGATCGTGCTGTGCGGTCCATGATCCGAGTAACATTGCTTCACATTTTATACCGGTACGGATTTCGCAGCTTCCCGGGCTCACAAACGCCCTTATATGGGGACGGTTCTTCGTGCGGCGGGCCCGTTTGAAGGAAAAAAGAGCTGGAATCTCGTCCCAAGGTGTCTAGGATTGTGGCAAACACGATCGTGCTGGGCAGTCCATGATCCGAGTAACATTGCTTCACATTTTATACCGGTACGGATTTCGCAGCTTCCCGGGCTCACAAACGCCCTTATATGGGGACGGTTCTTCGTGCGGCGGGCCCGTTTGAAGGAAAAAAGAGCTGGAATCTCGTCCCAAGGTGTCTAGGATTGTGGCAAACACGATCGTGCTGGGCGGTCCATGATCCGAGTAACATTGCTTCACATTTTATACCGGTACGGATTTCGCAGGCTTCCCGGGCTCACAAACGCCCTTATATGGGGACGGTTCTTCGTGCGGCGGGCCCGTTTGAAGGAAAAAAGAGCTGGAATCTCGTCCCAAGGTGTCTAGGATTGTGGCAAACACGATCGTGCTGGGCGGTCCATGATCCGAGTAACATTGCTTCACATTTTATACCGGTACGGATTTCGCAGCTTCCCGGGCTCACAAACGCCCTTATATGGGGACGGTTCTTCGTGCGGCGGGCCCGTTTGAAGGAAAAAAGAGCTGGAATCTCGTCCCAAGGTGTCTAGGATTGTGGCAAACACGATCGTGCTGGGCGGTCCATGATCCGAGAAACATTGCTTCACATTTTATACCGGTACGGATTTCGCAGCTTCCCGGGCTCACAAACGCCCTTATATGGGGACGGTTCTTCGTGCGGCGGGCCCGTTTGAAGGAAAAAAGAGCTGGAATCTCGTCCCAAGGTGTCTAGGATTGTGGCAAACACAATCGTGCTGGGCGGTCCATGATCCGAGTAACATTGCTTCACATTTTATACCGGTACGGATTTCGCAGCTTCCCGGGCTCACAAACGCCCTTATATGGGGACGGTTCTTCGTGCGGCGGGCCCGTTTGAAGGAAAAAAGAGCTGGAATCTCGTCCCAAGGTGTCTAGGATTGTGGCAAACACGATCGTGCTGGGCGGTCCATGATCCGAGTAACATTGCTTCACATTTTATACCGGTACGGATTTCGCAGGCTTCCCGGGCTCACAAACGCCCTTATATGGGGACGGTTCTTCGTGCGGCGGGCCCGTTTGAAGGAAAAAAGAGCTGGAATCTCGTCCCAAGGTGTCTAGGATTGTGGCAAACACGATCGTGCTGGGCGGTCCATGATCCGAGTAACATTGCTTCACATTTTATACCGGTACGGATTTCGCAGCTTCCCGGGCTCACAAACGCCCTTATATGGGGACGGTTCTTCGTGCGGCGGGCCCGTTTGAAGGAAAAGAGAGCTGGAATCTCGTCCCAAGGTGTCTAGGATTGTGGCAAACACGATCGTGCTGGGCGGTCCATGATCCGAGTAACATTGCTTCACATTTTATACCGGTACGGATTTCGCAGCTTCCCGGGCTCACAAACGCCCTTATATGGGGACGGTTCTTCGTGCGGCGGGCCCGTTTGAAGGAAAAAAGAGCTGGAATCTCGTCCCAAGGTGTCTAGGATTGTGGCAAACACGATCGTGCTGGGCGGTCCATGATCCGAGTAAACATTGCTTCACATTTTATACCGGTACGGATTTCGCAGGCTTCCCGGGCTCACAAACGCCCTTATATGGGGACGGTTCTTCGTGCGGCGGGCCCGTTTGAAGGAAAAAAGAGCTGGAATCTCGTCCCAAGGTGTCTAGGATTGTGGCAAACACAATCGTGCTGGGCGGTCCATGATCCGAGTAACATTGCTTCACATTTTATACCGGTACGGATTTCGCAGCTTCCCGGGCTCACAAACGCCCTTATATGGGGACGGTTCTTCGTGCGGCGGGCCCGTTTGAAGGAAAAAAGAGCTGGAATCTCGTCCCAAGGTGTCTAGGATTGTGGCAAACACGATCGTGCTGGGCGGTCCATGATCCGAGTAACATTGCTTCACATTTTATACCGGTACGGATTTCGCAGCTTCCCGGGCTCACAAACGCCCTTATATGGGGACGGTTCTTCGTGCGGCGGGCCCGTTTGAAGGAAAAAAGAGCTGGAATCTCGTCCCAAGGTGTCTAGGATTGTGGCAAACACGATCGTGCTGGGCGGTCCATGATCCGAGTAACATTGCTTCACATTTTATACCGGTACGGATTTCGCAGCTTCCCGGGCTCACAAACGCCCTTATATGGGGACGGTTCTTCGTGCGGCGGGCCCGTTTGAAGGAAAAAAGAGCTGGAATCTCGTCCCAAGGTGTCTAGGATTGTGGCAAACACGATCGTGCTGTGCGGTCCATGATCCGAGTAACATTGCTTCACATTTTATACCGGGACGGATTTCGCAGCTTCCCGGGCTCACAAACGCCCTTATATGGGGACGGTTCTTCGTGCGGCGGGCCCGTTTGAAGGAAAAAAGAGCTGGAATCTCGTCCCAAGGTGTCTAGGATTGTGGCAAACACGATCGTGCTGGGCAGGTCCATGATCCGAGTAACATTGCTTCACATTTTATACCGGTACGGATTTCGCAGCTTCCCGGGCTCACAAACGCCCTTATATGGGGACGGTTCTTCGTGCGGCGGGCCTGTTTGAAGGCAAAAAGAGCTGGAATATTGTCCCAAGGTGTCTAGGATTGTGGCAAACACGATCGTGCTGGGCGGTCCATGATCCGAGTAACATTGCTTCACATTTTATACCGGTACGGATTTCGCGGCTTCCCGGGCTCACAAACGCCCTTATATGGGGACGGTTCTTCGTGCGGCGGGCCCGTTTGAAGGAAAAAAGAGCTGGAATCTCGTCCCAAGGTGTCTAGGATTGTGGCAAACACGATCGTGCTGTGCGGTCCATGATCCGAGTAACATTGCTTCACATTTTATACCGGTACGGATTTCGCAGCTTCCCGGGCTCACAAACGCCCTTATATGGGGACGGTTCTTCGTGCGGCGGGCCCGTTTGAAGGAAAAAAGAGCTGGAATCTCGTCCCAAGGTGTCTAGGATTGTGGCAAACACGATTGTGCTGGGCGGTCCATGATCCGAGTAACATTGCTTCACATTTTATACCGGTACGGATTTCGCAGCTTCCCGGGCTCACAAACGCCCTTATATGGGGACGGTTCTTCGTGCGGCGGGCCCGTTTGAAGGAAAATGGGGCGGGGTGATGGAAAGCGGGAGAATGGGGCGGGGTGATGGAAGGAAGGAGAATGGGGCGGGGTGATGGAAAGCGGGAGAATGGGGCGGGGTGATGGAAGGAAGGAGAATGGGGCGGGGTGATGGAAAGCGGGAGAATGGGGCGGGGTGATGGAAGGAAGGAGAATGGGGCGGGGTGATGGAAAGCGGGAGAATGGGGCGGGGTGATGGAAAGCAGAAGAATAGGGCGGGGTGATGGAAAGCGGGAGAATGGGGCGGGCCGATGGAAAGTGGGAGAATGGGGCGGGGTGATGGAAGGAGGGAGAATGGGGCGGGGTGATGGAAGGAGGGAGAATGGGGCGGGTGATGAAAGGAGGGAGAATGGGGTGGGGTTATGGAAAGCGGGAGAATGGGGCGGGGTGTGGAAAGCGGGAGAATGGGGCGGGGTGATGGAAAGCGGGAAAATGGGGCGGGGTGATTGAAAGCACGAGAATGGGGCTGGGTGATGGAAAGCAGGAGAATGGGGCGGGGTGATGGAAAGCGGGAGAATGGGGCGGGGTGATGGAAGGAGGGAGACTGAGGCGGGGTGATGGAAGGAGGGAGAATGGGGCGGGGTGATGGAAAGCGGGAGAATGGGGCGGAGTGATGGAAAGCGGGAGAATGGGGCGGGGTGATGGAAAGCGGGAGAATGGGGCGAGGTGATGGAAAGCGGGTGAATGGGGCGGGGTGATGGAAAGCGGGAGAATGTGGCGGGTGACGGAAAGCGGGTGAATGGGGCGGGGTGATGGAAAGCGGGAGAATGGGGCGGGGTGATGGAAAGCAAAAATGGGGCGGGGTGATGGAAGGAGGGAGAATGGGGCGGGGTGATGGAAGGAGGGAGAATGGGGCGCGTGATGAAAGTAGGGAGAATGGGGTGGGGTTATGGAAAGCGGGAGAATGGGGCGGGGTGATGGAAAGCGGGAGGATGGGGCGGGGTGATTGAAAGCGGGAAAATGGGGCGGGGTGATTGAAAGCGCGAGAATGGGGCTGGGTGATGGAAAGCAGGAGAATGGGGCCGGGTGATGGAAAGCGGGAGAATGGGGCGGAGTGATGGAAAGCGGGAGAATGGGGCAGGGTGGTGGAAAGCGGGAGAATGGGGCGAGGTGATGGAAAACGGGAGAATGGGGCGGGGTGTTGGAAAGCGGGAGAATGGGGAGGGGTGATGAAAAGCGGGAGAATGGGGCGGGGTGATGGAAAGCGGGAGAATGTGGCGGGGTGATGGAAAGCGGGAGAATGGGGCGGGTGATGGAAAGCGGGTGAATGGGGCGGGGTGATGGAAAGCGGGAGAATTTGGCGGGGTGATGGGAAGCAGAAGAATGGGGCGGGGTGATGGAAAGCGGGAGAATTGGGCGAGGTGATGGAAAGCACGAGAATGGGGCGGGGTGATGGAAGGAGGTAGAATGAGGCGGGGTGATGGAAGGAGGGAGAATGGGGCAGGGTGATGGAAAGCGGGAGAATGGGGCGGGGGGATGGAAAGCGGGAGAATGGGGTGGGCTGATGGAAAGCGGGAGAATGGGGCAGGGTGATGGAAAGCGGGAGAATGGGGCGGGGTGATGGAAAGCGGGAGAATGGGGCGGGCCGATAGAAAGTGGGAGAACGGGGCGGGGTGATGGAAGGAGGGAGAATGGGGCGTGGTGATGGAAGGAGGGAGAATGGGGCGGGTGATGAACGGAGGGAGAATGGGGCGGGGTTTTGGAAAGCGGGAGAATGGGGCGGGGTGATGGAAAGCGGGAGAATGGGGCGGGGTGATGGAAAGCGGGAAAATGGGGCGGGGTGATGGAAAGCGCGAGAATGGGGCGGGTGATGGAAAGCTGGTGAATGGGGCGGGGTGATGGAAAGCGAGGAATTTGGCGGGGTGATGGAAAGCAGAAGAATGGGGCGGGGTGATGGAAAGCGGGAGAATTGGGCGAGGTGATGGAAAGCAGGAGAATGGGGCGGGGTGATGGAAGGAGGTAGAATGAGGCGGGGTGATGGAAGGAGGGAGAATGGGGCAGGGTGATGGAAAGCGGGAGAATGGGGCGGGGTGATGGAAAGCGGGAGAATGGGGTGGGCTGATGGAAAGCGGGAGAATGGGGCAGGGTGATGGAAAGCGGGAGAATGGGGCGGGGTGATGGAAAGCGGGAGAATGGGGCGGGCCGATAGAAAGTGGGAGAACGGGGCGGGGTGATGGAAGGAGGGAGAATGGGGCGTGGTGATGGAAGGAGGGAGAATGGGGCGGGTGATGAAAGGAGGGAGAATGGGGCGAGGTTATGGAAAGCGGGAGAATGGGGCGGGGTGATGGAAAGCGGGAGAATGGGGCGGGGTGATGGAAAGCGGGAAAATGGGGCGGGGTGATGGAAAGTGCGAGAATTGGGCTGGGTGATGGAAAGCAGGAGAATGGGGCGGGGTGATGGAAAGCGGGAGAATGGGGCGGGGTGATGGAAGGAGGGAGACTGAGGTGGGGTGATGGAAGGAGGGAGAATGGGGCGGGTTGATGGAAAGCGGGAGAATGGGGCGGGGTGATGGAAAGCGGGAGAATGGGGCGGAGTGATGGAAAGCGGGAGAATGGGGCGGGGTGATGGAAAGCGGGAGAATGGGGCGGGGTGATGGAATGCGGGAGAACGGGGCGGGGTGTTGGAAAGCGGGAGAATGGGGCGGGTTGATGAAAAGCGGGAGGATGGGGCGGGGTGATGGAAAGCGGGAGAACGGGGCGGGGTGATGGAAAGCGGGAGAATGGGGCGGGTTATGGAATGCGGGTGAGTGGGGCAGGGTGATTGAAAGCGGGAGAATGGGGCGGGTTGATGGAAAGCAGAGAAATGGGGCGAGGTGATGGAAAGCGGGAGAATGGGGCGAGGTGATGGAAAGCGGGAGAATGGGGCGGGGTGACGGAAAGCGGGAGAATGGGGCAGGGTGATGGAAGGAGGGAGAATGGGGCGGGGTGATGGAAAGCGGGAGAATGGGGCGTGGTGATGGAAAGCGGGAGAATGGGGCGGGGTGATGGAAAGCGGGAGAATGTGGCGGGGTGATGGAAAGCGGGAGAATGTGGCGGGGTGATGGAAAGCGGGAGAATGGGGCAGGGTGATGGAAGGAGGTAGAATGAGGCGGGGTGATGGAAGGAGAAGAATGGGGCGGGGTAATGGAAAGCGGGAGAATGGGGCGGGGTGATGGAAAGCGGGAGAATGGGGCGGAGTGATGGAAAGCGGGAGAATGGGGCGGGGTGATGGAAAGCGGGAGAATAGGGCGTGGTGATGGAAAGCGAGAGAATGGGGCGGGGTGATGGGAGAATGGGGCGCGGTGATGGAAAGCGGGAGCATGGGGCGGGGTGATGGAAAGCGGGAGAATGGGGCGGGGTGATGGAAGGAGGGAGAATGGGGCGGGGTGATGGAAAGCGGGAGAATGGGGCGGGGTGATGGAAAGCGGGAGAATGGGGCGGGCTGATGAAAAGCGGGAGAATGGGGCGGGATGATGGAAAGCGGGAGCATGGGGCGGGGTGATGGAAGGAGGTAGAATGAGGCGGGGTGATGGAAGGAGGGAGAATGGGGCGGGGTGATGGAAAGTGGGAGAATGGGGCGGGGTGATGGAAAGCGGGAGAATGGGGCGGGGTGATGGAAAGCGGGAGAATGGGGCGGGGAGATGCAAAGCGGGAGAAAAAGGCGGGGTGATGGAAAGTGGGAGAATGAGGCGGGGTGATGGAAGGAGGGAGAATGGGGCGGGGTGATGGACGGAGGGAGAAGGGGGCAGGGTGATGGAAAGCGGGAGAATGGGGCGGGGTGATGGAAAGCGGGAGAATGGGGCGGGGTGATGGAAGGAGGTGAATGAGGCGGGGTGATGGAAGGAGAAGAATGGGGCGGGGTAATGGAAAGCCGGAGAATGGGGCGGGGTGATGGAAAGCGGGAGAATGGGGCGAAGTGATGGAAAGCGGGAGAATGGGGCGGGGTGATGGAAGGAGGGAGAATGGGGCGGGGTGATGGAAGGAGGGAGAATGGGGCGCGTGATGAAAGTAGGGAGAATGGGGTGGGGTTATGGAAAGCGGGAGAATGGGGCGGGGTGATGGAAAGCGGGAGGATGGGGCGGGGTGATTGAAAGCGGGAAAATGGGGCGGGGTGATTGAAAGCGCGAGAATGGGGCTGGGTGATGGAAAGCAGGAGAATGGGGCGGGGTGATGGAAAGCGGGAGAATGTGGCGGAGTGATGGAAAGCGGGAGAATGGGGCAGGGTGATGGAAAGCGGGAGAATGGGGCGAGGTGATGGAAAACGGGAGAATGGAGCGGGGTGTTGGAAAGCGGGAGAATGGGGCGGGGTGATGAAAAGCGGGAGAATGGGGCGGGGTGATGGAAAGCGGGAGAATGGGGCGGGGTGATGGAAAGCGGGAGAATGGGGCGGGTGATGGAAAGCGGGTGAATGGGGCGGGGTGATGGAAAGTGGGAGAATGGGGCGGGGTGATGGAAAGCAGAAGAATAGGGCGGGGTGATGGAAAGCGGGAGAATTGGGCGAGGTGATGGAAAGCAGGAGAATGGGGCGGGGTGATGGAAGGAGGTAGAATGAGGCGGGGTGATGGAAGGAGGGAGAATGGGGCAGGGTGATGGAAAGCGGGAGAATGGGGCGGGGTGATGGAAAGCGGGAGAATGGGGTGGGCTGATGGAAAGCGGGAGAATGTGGCAGGGTGATGGAAAGCGGGAGAATGGGGCGGGGTGATGGAAAGCGGGAGAATGGGGCGGGGTGATGGAAAGCGGGAGAATGGGGCGGGGTGATGGAAAGCGGGAGAATGGGGCGAGGTGATGGAAAACGGGAGAATGGGGCGGGGTGTTGGAAAGCGGGAGAATGGGGCGGGGTGATGAAAAGCGGGAGAATGGGGCGGGGTGATGGAAAGCGGGAGAATGTGGCGGGGTGATGGAAAGCGGGAGAATGGGGCGGGTGATGGAAAGCGGGTGAATGGGGCGGGGTGATGGAAAGCGGGAGAATTTGGCGGGGTGATGGGAAGCAGAAGAATGGGGCGGGGTGATGGAAAGCGGGAGAATTGGGCGAGGTGATGGAAAGCACGAGAATGGGGCGGGGTGATGGAAGGAGGTAGAATGAGGCGGTGTGATGGAAGGAGGGAGAATGGGGCAGGGTGATGGAAAGCGGGAGAATGGGGCGGGGTGATGGAAAGCGGGAGAATGGGGTGGGCTGATGGAAAGCGGGAGAAAGGGGCAGGGTGATGGAAAGCGGGAGAATGGGGCGGGGTGATGGAAAGCGGGAGAATGGGGCGGGCCGATAGAAAGTAGGAGAACGGGGCGGGGTGATGGAAGGAGGGAGAATGGGGCGTGGTGATGGAAGGAGGGAGAATGGGTCGGGTGATGAAAGGAGGGAGAATGGGGCGAGGTTATGGAAAGCGGGAGAATGGGGCGGGGTGATGGAAAGCGGGAGAATGGGGCGGGGTGATGGAAAGCGGGAAAATGGGGCGGGGTGATGGAAAGTGCGAGAATTGGGCTGGGTGATGGAAAGCAGGAGAATGGGGCGGGGTGATGGAAAGCGGGAGAATCGGGCGGGGTGATGGAAGGAGGGAGACTGAGGTGGGGTGATGGAAGGAGGGAGAATGGGGCGGGTTGATGGAAAGCGGGAGAATGGGGCGGGGTGATGGAAAGCGGGAGAATGGGGCGGAGTGATGGAAAGCGGGAGAATGGGGCGGGGTGATGGAAAGCGGGAGAATGGGGCGGGGTGATGGAATGCGGGAGAACGGGGCGGGGTGTTGGAAAGCGGGAGAATGGGGCGGGTTGATGAAAAGCGGGAGGATGGGGCGGGGTGATGGAAAGCGGGAGAACGGGGCGGGGTGATGGAAAGCGGGAGAATGGGGCGGGTTATGGAATGCGGGTGAGTGGGGCAGAGTGATTGAAAGCGGGAGAATGGGGCGGGTTGATGGAAAGCAGAGGAATGGGGCGAGGTGATGGAAAGCGGGAGAATGGGGCGAGGTGATGGAAAGCGGGAGAATGGGGCGGGGTGACGGAAAGCGGGAGAATGGGGCAGGGTGATGGAAGGAGGGAGAATGGGGCGGGGTGATGGAAAGCGGGAGAATGGGGCGTGGTGATGGAAAGCGGGAGAATGGGGCGGGGTGATGGAAAGCGGGAGAATGTGGCGGGGTGATGGAAAGCGGGAGAATGGGGCAGGGTGATGGAAGGAGGTAGAATGAGGCGGGGTGATGGAAGGAGAAGAATGGGGCGGGGTAATGGAAAGCGGGAGAATGGGGCGGGGTGATGGAAAGCGGGAGAATGGGGCGGAGTGATGGAAAGCGGGAGAATGGGGCGGGGTGATGGAAAGCGGGAGAATGGGGCGTGGTGATGGAAAGCGAGAGAATGGGGCGGGGTGATGGGAGAATGGGGCGGGGTGATGGAAAGCGGGAGCATGGGGCGGGGTGATGGAAAGCGGGAGAATGGGGCGGGGTGATGGAAGGAGGGAGAATGGGGCGGGGTGATGGAAAGCGGGAGAATGGGGCGGGGTGATGGAAAGCGGGAGAATGGGGCGGGCTGATGAAAAGCGGGAGAATGGGGCGGGATGATGGAAAGCGGGAGCATGGGGCGGGGTGATGGAAGGAGGTAGAATGAGGCGGGGTGATGGAAGGAGGGAGAATGGGGCGGGGTGATGGAAAGTGGGAGAATGGGGCGGGGTGATGGAAAGCGGGAGAATGGGGCGGGGTGATGGAAAGCGGGAGAATGGGGCGGGGAGATGCAAAGCGGGAGAAAAAGGCGGGGTGATGGAAAGCGGGATAATGGGGCGGGCTGATAGAAAGTGGGAGAATGAGGCGGGGTGATGGAAGGAGGGAGAATGGGGCGGGGTGATGGACGGAGGGAGAAGGGGGCAGGGTGATGGAAAGCGGGAGAATGGGGCGGGGTGATGGAAAGCGGGAGAATGGGGCGGGGTGATGGAAGGAGGTGAATGAGGCGGGGCGATGGAAGGAGAAGAATGGGGCGGGGTAATGGAAAGCCGGAGAATGGGGCGGGGTGATGGAAAGCGGGAGAATGGGGCGGAGTGATGGAAAGCGGGAGAATGGGGCGGGGTGATGGAAAGCGGGAGAATGGGGCGAGGTGATGGAAAGCGAGAGAATGGGGTGGGGTGATGGGAGAATGGGGCGGGGAGACGGAAAGCGGGAGCATGTGGCGGGGTGATGGAAAGCGGGAGAATGGGGCGGGGTGATGGAAGGAGGGAGAATGGGGCGGGGTGATGGAAAGCGGGAGAATGGGGCGGGGTGATGGAAAGCGGGAGAATGGGGCGGGCTGATGAAAAGCGGGAGAATGGGGCGCGATGATGGAAAGCGGGAGCATGGGGCGGGGTGATGGAAGGAGGTAGAATGAGGCGGGGTGATGGAAGGAGGGAGAATGGGGCGGGGTGATAGAAAGTGGGAGAATGGGGCGGGGTGATGGAAAGCGGGAGAATGGGGCGGGGTGATGGAAAGCGGGAGAATGGGGCGGGGATATGCAAAGCGGGAGAAAAAGGCGGGGTGATGGAAAGCGGGATAATGGGGCGGGCTGATAGAAAGTGGGAGAATGAGGCGGGGTGATGGAAGGAGGGAGAATGGGGCGGGGTGATGGACGGAGGGAGAAGGGGGCAGGGTGATGGAAAGCGGGAGAATGGGGTGGGGTGATGAAAAGCGAGAGAATGGGGCGGGTGATGGAAAGCGGGAGAATGGGGGGGGCTGATGGAAAGCGGGAGAATGGGGAGGGGTGATCAAAGGAGGGAGAATGGGGCGGGGTGATGGAAGGAGGGAGAATGGGGTGGGGTGATGGAAGGAGGGAGAATGGGGCGGGGTGATGGAAAGTGGGAGAATGTGGCAGGGTGATGGAAAGCGGGAGAATGGGGCGGGGTTCTGGAAAGCGGGAGAATGAGGCACGGTGACGGAAAGCGGGAGAATGGGGCAGGGTGATGGAAGGAGGGAGAATGGGGCGGGGTGATGGAAAGCGGGAGAATGGGGTGGGGTGATGAAAAGCGGGAGAATGAGGCGGGTTGATGGAAAGCGGGAGAATGGGGCGGGGTGATGGAAAGCGGGAGAATGGGGTGGGAAGATGGAAAGAGGGAGAATGTTGCGGGGTGATGGAAAGAGGGAGAATAGGGCGGGGTTATGGAAAGAGGGAGAATGGGGCGGGGTGATGGAAAGAGGGAGAACGGGGCGGGGTGATGGAAAGCGGGAGAATGGGGCGGGGTGATGGAAAGCGGGGTGATGGAAAGCGGGAGAATGGGGCGGGGTGATAGAAATAGGGAGAATAGGGCGGGGTGATGGAGAGTGGGAGAATGGGGCAGGGTGATGGAAAGAGGGAGAACGGGACGGGGTGATAAAAAGCGGAAGAATGGGGCGGGGCGATGGAAAGAGGAAGGATGGGGTGGGGTGATGGAAAGAGGGAGAATGGGGTGGGGTGATGAAAAGAGGGAGAATGGGGTGGGGTGATGGAAAGCGGGAGAATGGGGCCGGGTGATGGAAAATGGGAGAATGGGGTGGGATGATGGAAAGCGGGAGAATGGGGCGCGGTGATGGAAAGCGGGAGAATGGGGCGGGGTGATGGAAAGAGGGAGAAAGGGGCGGGGTGATGGAAAGCGGGAGAATGGGCCGGGGTGATGGAAAGCCGGAGAATGGGGCGGGGTGATGGAAAGCGGTAGAATGGGGCGGGGTGATTGAAAGCGGGAGAAAGGGGCGGGGTAATGGAAAGCGGGAGAATGGGGCGGGGTGATGGAAAGCGGGAGAACGGGGCGAGGTGATGGAAAGCTTGAGAATAGGGCGGGGTGATGGAAAGCGGGAGAATGGGGCGGAGTGATGGAAAGCGGGAGAACGGGGCGGGGTGATGGAAAGCGGGAGAATGAGGCTGGGTGATGGAAAGCGGAAGAATATGGCGGGATGATGGAAAGCGGGAGAATGGGGCAGGGTGATGAAAAGCGGAAGAATGGGGCGGGGTGAAGAAAAGCGGGAGAATAGGGCGGGCTGATGGAAAGAGGGGGAATGGGGCGGGGTGATAGAAAGGGGGAGAATAGGGCAGGGTGATGAAAAGCGGAAGAATGGGGTGGGGTGATGGAAAGAGGGAGGATGGGGCGGGGTGAAGAAAAGTGGGAGAATGGGGCGGGTTGATGGAAAGAGGGAGAATGGGGCGGGTTGAATGGGGCGGGGTGATGGAAAGCGGGAGAATGGGGCGGGGTGATGGACAGAGGGAGAATGGGGTGGGGTGACGGAAAGCGGTAGAATGGGGCGGGGTGATGGAAAGCGGGAGAATGGGGCGGGGTGATGGAAAAAGGGAGAATGGGGCGGGGTGATGGAAAGAGGGAGAATGGGGCGGGGTGATGTAAAGCAGGAGAATGGGGCGGGGTGATGGAAAAAGGGAGAATGGGGAGGGTTGATGGAAAGAGTGAGAATTGGGCGGGGTGATAGAAAGCGGGACAATGGAGCGGGATGATGGAAAGCGAGAGAATGGGGCGGGGTGATGGAAAGCGGGAGAATGGGGCGGGGTGATGGAAGAGGGAAAATGGCGCGGGGTGATGGAAAGCGGGAAAATGGGGCGGGTTGATGGAAAGAGGGAGAATGGGGCGGGGTGATGGAAAGAAGGAGAGTGGGGCGGGGTGATGGATAGCGGGAGAATGGGGCGGGGTGATGGAAAGAGGGAGAATGGGGCGGGGTGATGGAAAGAGGGAGAATGGGGTGGGGTGATGGAAAGCGGGAGAATGGGGCGGGGTGATGGAAAGAGGGAGAATGGGGCGGGGTGATGGACAGAGGGAGAATGGGGTGGGGTGACGGAAAGCGGTAGAATGGGGCGGGGTGACGGAAAGCGGGAGAATGGGGCGGGGTGGTGGAAAGAGGGAGAATGGGGCGGGGTGATGGAAAGAGGGAGAATGGGGCGGGGTGATGGAAAGCAGGAGAATGGGGCGGGGTGACGGAAAAAGAGAGAATGGGGAGGGGTGATGGAAAGAGTGAGAATTGGGCGGGGTGATGGAAAGCGGGACAATGGAGCGGGATGATGGAAAGCGAGAGAATGGGGCGGGGTGACGGAAAGCGGGAGAATGGGCCGGGGTGATGGAAAGAGGGAAAATGGTGCGGGGTGATGGAAAGCGGGAGAATGGGGAGGGTTGATGGAAAGAGGGAGAATGGGGCGGGGTGATGGAAAGAAGGAGAATGGGGCGGGGTGATGGAAAGCGGGAGAATGGGGCGGGGTGATGGAAAGAGGGAGAATGGGGCGGGGTGATGGAAAGAGGGAGAATTGGGCGGGTTGATGGAAGGCGGGAGAGTGGGGTGGGGTGATGGAAAGAGGGAGAATGGGGTGGGGTGATGGAAAGCGGGAGAATGGGGCGGGGTGATGGAAAAAGGGAGAATGGGGAGGGGTGATGGAAAGAGGGAGAATTGGGCGGCTGATGGAAAGCGGAACAATGGAGCGGGATGATGGAAAGCGAGAGAATGGGGCGGGGTGATGGAAAGCGGGAGAATGGGGTGGGGTGATGGAAAGAGGGAAAAAGGCGCGGGTTGATGGAAAGCGGGAGAATGGGGCAGGGTGATGGAAAGAGGGAGAATGGAGGGGGGTGATGGAAAGAGGGAGAATCGGGCAGGGTGATGGAAAGCGGGAGAATGGGGCGGGGTGATGGAAAGAGGGAGAATGGGGCGGGGTGATGGAAAGAGGGAGAATTGGGCGGGGTGATGGAAGGCGGGAGAGTGGGGCGGGGTGATGGAAAAAGGGAGAATGGGGAGGGGTGATGGAAAGAGGGAGAATTGGGCGGGGTGATGGAAAGCGGGACAATGGAGCGGGATGATGGAAAGCGAGAGAATGGGGCGGGGTGATGGAAAGCGGGAGAATGGGGCGGGGTGATGGAAAGAGGGAAAATGGCGCGGGGTGATGGAAAGCGGGAGAATGGGGCGGGGTGATGGAAAGAGGGAGAATGGGGCGGGGTGATGGAAAGAGGGAGAATGGGGCGGGGTGATGGAAAGAGGGAGAATGGGGCGGGGTGATGGAAAGAGGGAGAATGGGGCGGGGTGATGGAAATTGGGAGAATGAGGCGGGGTGATGGAAATCGGGAGAATGGGGCGGGGTGATGGAAAGAGGAAGAATGGGGCGGGTTGATGGAAAGAGGGAGAATGGGGCGGGGTGATGGAAAGCGGGAGAATGGGGCGGGATGATGGAAAGCGGGAGAATGGGGCGGGGTGATGGAAAACGGGGGAACGGGGTGGGGTGATGGAAATCGGGAGAATGGGGCGGGGTGATGGAAAGAGGGAGGATGGGGTGGGGCGATGGAAAGCAAAAGAATGGGGCGGGGTGATGGAAAGCGGGAGAATGGGGCGGGGTGATGGAAAGAGGGAGAATGGGGCGGGGTGATGGACAGAGGGAGAATGGGGTGGGGTGACGGAAAGCGGTAGAATGGGGCGAGGTGATGGAAAGCGGGAGAATGGGGCGGGGTGATGGAAAGAGGGAGAATGGGGCGGGGTGATGGAAAGAGGGAGAATGGGGCGGGGTGATGGAAAGCAGGAGAATGGGGCGGGGTGATGGAAAAAGGGAGAATGGGGAGGGGTGATGGAAAGAGTGAGAATTGGGCGGGGTGATGGAAAGCGGGACAATGGAGCGGGATGATGGAAAGCGAGAGAATGGGGCGGGGTGATGGAAAGCGGGAGAATGGGGCGGGGTGATGGAAAAAGGGAGAATGGGGAGGGGTGATGGAAAGAGGGAGAATTGGGCGGGGTGATGGAAAGAGGGAAAATGGCGCGGGGTGATGGAAAGCGGGAGAATGGGGCGGGGTGATGGAAAGAGGGAAAATGGCGCGGGGTGATGGAAAGCGGGAGAATGGGGCGGGGTGATGGAAAGAGGGAAAATGGCGCGGGGTGATGGAAAGCGGGAGAATGGTGCGGGGTGATGGAAAGAGGGAAAATGGCGCGGGGTGATGGAAAGCGGGAGAATGGGGCGGGTTGATGGAAAGAGGGAGAATGTGGCGCGGTGATAGAAAGAAGGAGAATGGGGCGGGGTGATGGAAAGCGGGAGAATGGGGCGGGGTGATGGAAAGAGGGAGAATGGGGCGGGGTGATGGAAAGAGGGAGAATTGGGCGGGTTGATGGAAGGCGGGAGAGTGGGGTGGGGTGATGGAAAGAGGGAGAATGGGGCGGGGTGATGGAAAGCGGGAGAATGGGGCGGGGTGATGGAAAAAGGGAGAATGGGGAGGGGTGATGGAAAGAGGGAGAATTGGGCGGGGTGATGGAAAGCGGGACAATGGAGCGGGATGATGGAAAGCGAGAGAATGGGGCGGGGTGATGGAAAAAGGGAAAATGGGGCGGGATGATGGAAAGCGGGAGAATGGGGCGGGGTGATGGAAAGAGGGAGAATGGGGCGGGGTGATGGAAAGAGGGAGAATGGGGCGGGGTGATGGAAAGCGGGACAATGGAGCGGGATGATGGAAAGAGGGAGAATGGGGCGGGGTGATGGAAAGAGGGAAAATGGCGCGGGGTGATGGAAAGCGGGAGAATGGGGCGGGGTGATGGAAAGAGGGAGAATGGGGCGGGGTGATGGAAAGAGGGAGAATGGGGCGGGGTGATGGAAAGCGGGAGAATGGGGCGGGGTGATGGAAAGAGGGAGAATGGGGCGGGGTGATGGAAAGAGGGAGAATTGGGCGGGGTGATGGAAGGCGGGAGAGTGGGGCGGGGTGATGGAAAGAGGGAGAATGGGGCGGGGTGATGGAAAGAGGGAGAATGGGGCGGGGTGATGGAAATTGGGAGAATGAGGCGGGGTGATGGAAATCGGGAGAATGGGGCGGGGTGATGGAAAGAGGAAGAATGGGGCGGGGTGATGGAAAGAGAGAGAATGGGGCGGGGTGATGGAAAGCGGGACAATGGGACGGGGTGATGGAAAGAGGGAGAATGGGGCGGGGTGATGGAAAGCGGGAGAATGGGGCGGGGTGATGGAAAAAGGGAGAATGGGGAGGGGTGATGGAAAGAGGGAGAATGGGGCGGGGTGATGGAAAGAGGGAGAATGGGGCGGGGTGATGGAAAGCGGGAGAATGGGGCGGGGTGATGGAAAGAGGGAGAATGGGGCGGGGTGATGGACAGAGGGAGAATGGGGTGGGGTGACGGAAAGCGGTAGAATGGGGCGGGGTGATGGAAAGCGGGAGAATGGGGCGGGGTGATGGAAAGAGGGAGAATGGGGCGGGGTGATGGAAAGAGGGAGAATGGGGCGGGATGATGGAAAGCAGGAGAATGGGGCGGGGTGATGGAAAAAGGGAGAATGGGGAGGGGTGATGGAAAGAGTGAGAATTTGGCGATGTGATGGAAAGCAGGACAATGGAGCGGGATGATGGAAAGCGAGAGAATGGGGCAGGGTGATGGAAAGCGGGAGAATGGGGCGGGGTGATGGAAAGAGGGAAAATGGCGCGGGGTGATGGAAAGCGGGAGAATGGGGCGGGTTGATGGAAAGAGGGAGAATGGGGCGGGGTGATGGAAAGAAGGAGAATGGGGCGGGGTGATGGAAAGCGGGAGAATGGGGCGGGGTGATGGAAAGAGGGAGAATGGGGCGGGGTGATGGAAAGCGAGAGAACTGGGCGGGATGATGGAAGGCGGGAGAGTGGGGCGGGGTGATGGAAAGAGGGAGAATGGGGCGGGGTGATGGAAAGAGGGAGAATGGGGCGGGGTGATGGAAAGAGGGAGAATTGGGCGGGTTGATGGAAGGCGGGAGAGTGGGGTGGGTTGATGGAAAGAGGGAGAATGGGGCGGGGTGATGGAAAGAAGGAGAATGGGGCGGGGTGATGGAGATCGGGAGAATGGGGCGGGTTGATGGAAAGAGGGAGAATGGGGCGGGGTGATGGAAAGAAGGAGAATGGGGCGGGGTGATGGAAAGCGGGAGAATGGGGCGGGGTGATGGAAAGAGGGAGAATGGGGCGGGGTGATGGAAAGAGGGAGAATTGGGCGGGTTGATGGAAGGCGGGAGAGTGGGGTGGGTTGATGGAAAGAGGGAGAATGGGGCGGGGTGATGGAAAGCGGGAGAATGGGCCGGGGTGATGGAAAAAGGGAGAATGGGGAGGCGTGATGGAAAGAGGGAGAATTGGGCGGGGTGATGGAAAGCGGGACAATGGAGCGGGATGATGGAAAGCGAGAGAATGGGGCGGGGTGATGGAAAGCGGGAGAATGGGGCGGGGTGATGGAAAGAGGGAAAATGGCGCGGGGTGATGGAAAGCGGGAGAATGGGGCGGGGTGATGGAAAGAGGGAGAATGGGGCGGGGTGATGGAGAGCGGGAGAATGGGGCGGGGTGATGGAAAGAGGGAGAATGGGGCGGGGTGATGGAAAGAGGGAGAATTGGGCGGGGTGATGGAAGGCGGGAGAGTGGGGCGGGGTGATGGAAAGAGGGAGAATGGGGCGGGGTGATGAAAAGAGGGAGAATTGGGCGGGGTGATGAAAATTGGGAGAATGAGGCGGGGTGATGGAAATCGGGAGAATGGGGCGGGGTGATGGAAAGAGGAAGAATGGGGCGGGGTGATGGAAAGCCGGAGAATGGGGCGGGGTGATGGAAAGCAGGAGAATGGGGCGGGATGATGGAAAGCGGGAGAATGGGGCGGGGTGATGGAAAACGGGGGAACGGGGCGGGGTGATGGAAATCGGGAGAATGGGGCGGGGTGATGGAAAGAGGGAGGATGGGGTGGGGCGATGGAAAGCGAAAGAATGGGGCGGGGTGATGGAAAGCGGGAGAATGGGGCGGGGTGATGGAAAGAGGGAGAATGGGGCGGGGTGATGGACAGAGGGAGAATGGGGTGGGGTGACGGAAAGCGGTAGAATGGGGCGAGGTGATGGAAAGCGGGAGAATGGGGCGGGGTGATGGAAAGAGGGAGAATGGGGCGGGGTGATGGAAAGAGGGAGAATGGGGCGGGGTGATGGAAAGCAGGAGAATGGGGCGGGGTGATGGAAAAAGGGAGAATGGGGAGGGGTGATGGAAAGAGTGAGAATTGGGCGGGGTGATGGAAAGCGGGACAATGGAGCGGGATGATGGAAAGCGAGAGAATGGGGCGGGGTGATGGAAAGCGGGAGAATGGTGCGGGGTGATGGAAAGAGGGAAAATGGCGCGGGGTGATGGAAAGCGGGAGAATGGGGCGGGTTGATGGAAAGAGGGAGAATGTGGCGCGGTGATAGAAAGAAGGAGAATGGGGCGGGGTGATGGAAAGCGGGAGAATGGGGCGGGGTGATGGAAAGAGGGAGAATGGGGCAGGGTGATGGAAAGAGGGAGAATTGGGCGGGTTGATGGAAGGCGGGAGAGTGGGGTGGGGTGATGGAAAGAGGGAGAATGGGGCGGGGTGATGGAAAGCGGGAGAATGGGGCGGGGTGATGGAAAAAGGGAGAATGGGGAGGGGTGATGGAAAGAGGGAGAATTGGGCGGGGTGATGGAAAGCGGGACAATGGAGCGGGATGATGGAAAGCGAGAGAATGGGGCGGGGTGATGGAAAGAGGGAAAATGGGGCGGGATGATGGAAAGCGGGAGAATGGGGCGGGGTGATGGAAAGAGGGAGAATGGGGCGGGGTGATGGAAAGAGGGAGAATGGGGCGGGGTGATGGAAAGCGGGACAATGGAGCGGGATGATGGAAAGAGGGAGAATGGGGCGGGGTGATGGAAAGAGGGAAAATGGCGCGGGGTGATGGAAAGCGGGAGAATGAGGCGGGGTGATGGAAAGAGGGAGAATGGGGCGGGGTGATGGAAAGAGGGAGAATGGGGCGGGGTGATGGAAAGCGGGAGAATGGGGCGGGGTGATGGAAAGAGGGAGAATGGGGCGGGGTGATGGAAAGAGGGAGAATTGGGCGGGGTGATGGAAGGCGGGAGAGTGGGGCGGGGTGATGGAAAGAGGGAGAATGGGGCGGGGTGATGGAAAGAGGGAGAATGGGGCGGGGTGATGGAAATTGGGAGAATGAGGCGGGGTGATGGAAATCGGGAGAATGGGGCGGGGTGATGGAAAGAGGAAGAATGGGGCGGGGTGATGGAAAGAGAGAGAATGGGGCGGGGTGATGGAAAGCGGGACAATGGGACGGGGTGATGGAAAGAGGGAGAATGGGGCGGGGTGATGGAAAGCGGGAGAATGGGGCGGGGTGATGGAAAAAGGGAGAATGGGGAGGGGTGATGGAAAGAGGGAGAATGGGGCGGGGTGATGGAAAGAGGGAGAATGGGGCGGGGTGATGGAAAGCGGGAGAATGGGGCGGGGTGATGGAAAGAGGGAGAATGGGGCGGGGTGATGGACAGAGGGAGAATGGGGTGGGGTGACGGAAAGCGGTAGAATGGGGCGGGGTGATGGAAAGCGGGAGAATGGGGCGGGGTGATGGAAAGAGGGAGAATGGGGCGGGGTGATGGAAAGAGGGAGAATGGGGCGGGATGATGGAAAGCAGGAGAATGGGGCGGGATGATGGAAAGAGGGAGAATGGGGCGGGGTGATGGAAAGAAGGAGAATGGGGCGGGGTGATGGAAAGCGGGAGAATGGGGCGGGGTGATGGAAAGAGGGAGAATGGGGCGGGGTGATGGAAAGCGAGAGAACTGGGCGGGATGATGGAAGGCGGGAGAGTGGGGCGGGGTGATGGAAAGAGGGAGAATGGGGCGGGGTGATGGAAAGAGGGAGAATGGGGCGGGGTGATGGAAATTGGGAGAATGAGGCGGGGTGATGGAGATCGGGAGAATGGGGCGGGTTGATGGAAAGAGGGAGAATGGGGCGGGGTGATGGAAAGAAGGAGAATGGGGCGGGGTGATGGAAAGCGGGAGAATGGGGCGGGGTGATGGAAAGAGGGAGAATAGGGCGGGGTGATGGAAAGAGGGAGAATTGGGCGGGTTGATGGAAGGCGAGAGAGTGGGGTGGGTTGATGGAAAGAGGGAGAATGGGGCGGGGTGATGGAAAGCGGGAGAATGGGCCGGGGTGATGGAAAAAGGGAGAATGGGGAGGCGTGATGGAAAGAGGGAGAATTGGGCGGGGTGATGGAAAGCGGGACAATGGAGCGGGATGATGGAAAGCGAGAGAATGGGGCGGGGTGATGGAAAGCGGGAGAATGGGGCGGGGTGATGGAAAGAGGGAAAATGGCGCGGGGTGATGGAAAGCGGGAGAATGGGGCGGGGTGATGGAAAGAGGGAGAATGGGGCGGGGTGATGGAAAGCGGGAGAATGGGGCGGGGTGATGGAAAGAGGGAGAATGGGGCGGGGTGATGGAAAGAGGGAGAATTGGGCGGGGTGATGGAAGGCGGGAGAGTGGGGCGGGGTGATGGAAAGAGGGAGAATGGGGCGGGGTGATGAAAAGAGGGAGAATTGGGCGGGGTGATGAAAATTGGGAGAATGAGGCGGGGTGATGGAAATCGGGAGAATGGGGCTGGATGATGGAAAGAGGGAGAATGGGGCGGGGTGATGGAAAACGGGGGAACGGGGCGGGGTGATGGAAATCGGGAGAATAGGGCGGGGTGATGGAAAGAGGGAGGATGGGGTGGGGTGATGGAAAGCAAAAGAATGGGGCGGGGTGATGGAAAGCGGGAGAATGGGGCGGGGTGATGGAAAGAGGGAAAATAGCGCGGGGTGATGGAAAGCGGGAGAATGGGGCGGGGTGATGGAAAGAGGGAGAATGGGGCGGGGTGATGGAAAGAAGGAGAATGGGGCGGTTTGATGGAAAGCGGGAGAATGGGGCGGGGTGATGGAAAGAGGGAGAATGGGGCGGGGTGATGGAAAGAGGGAGAATTGGGCGGGTTGATGGAAGGCGGGAGAGTGGGGCGGGGTGATGGAAAGAGGGAGAATGGGGCGGGGTGATGGAAAGCGGGAGAATGGGGCGGGGTGATGGAAAAAGGGAGAATGGGGAGGGGTGATGGAAAGAGGGAGAATTGGGCGGGGTGATGGAAAGCGAGACAATGGAGCGGGATGATGGAAAGCGAGAGAATGGGGCGGGGTGATGGAAAGCGGGAGAATGGGGCAGAGTGATGGAAAGAGGGAGAATGGGGTGGGGTGATGGAAAGCGAGAGAATGGGGCAGGGTGATGGAAAGAGGGAGAATGGGGCGGGGTGATGGAAAGAGGGAGAATTGGGCGGGGTGATGGGAGGCGGGAGAGTGGGGCGGGGTGATGGAAAAAGGGAGAATGGGGCGGGGTGATGGAAAGCGGGAGAATGGGGCGGGGTGATGGAAAGAGGAAGAATGGGGAGGGGTAATGGGAAGAGGGAGAATTGGGCGGGGTGATGGAAAGCGGGACAATGGGAAGGTGATGGAAAGCGGGAGAATGGGGCGGGGTGATGGAAAGCAAGAGAATGGGGCGGGGTGATGGAAAGCGGGAGAATGGGGCGGGGTGATGGAAAGAGGGAGAATGGGGCAGGCTGATGCAAAGAGGGAGAATGGGGCGGGGTGATGGAAAGTGGGACAATGGGGAGGGGTGATGGAAATCGGGAGAATGGGGCGGGGTGATGGAAAGTGGGAGAATGGGGCGGGGTGATGGAAAGGGGGAGAATGGGGCGGGGTGATGGAAAGCAGGAGAATGGGGCGGGGTGATTGAAAGTGGGAGACTGGGGCGGGGTGATGGAAAGATGGAGAATAGGGCGGGGTGATGGAAAGTGGGAGAACGGGGCGGGGTGATGGAAAGAGGGAGAATGGGGCAGGGTGATGGAAAGAGGGAGAATGGGGCGGGGAGATGGAAAGCGGGAGAATGGGGCGGGTGATGGAAAGCGGGAGAATGGAGCGGGGTGATGGAAAGCAGGAGAATGGGGCGGGGTGATGTAAAGCAGGAGAATGGAGCGGGGTGATGGAATAAGGGAGAATGGGGCAGGGTGATGGAAAGCGGGAGAATGGGGCGGGGTGATGGAAAGAGGGAGAATGGGGCGGGGTGATGGAAAGCGGGAGAATGGGGCGGGGTGATGGAAAGAGGGAGAATGGGGAGGGGTAATGGGAAGAGGGAGAATTGGGCGGGGTGATGGAAAGCAAGAGAATGGAGCGGGGTGATGGATAGAGAAGAATTGGGTGGGGTGATGGATAGAGGAGAATGGGGCGGGGTGATGGAAAGCGGGAGAATTGGGCGGGGTGATGGATAGAGGTAGAATGGGGCAGGGTGATGGAAAGAGGGAGAATGGGGCGGGGTGATGGAAAGCGGGAGAATGGGGCGGGGTGATGGAAAGCGGGAGAATGGGGCGGGGCGATTGAAAGAGGGAGAATGGGGCGGGCTAATGGAAAGAGGGAGAATGGGGCGGGGTGATGGAAAGCAAGAGAATGGGGCGGGGTGATGGAAATCGGGAGAATGGGGCGGGGTGATGGAAAGAGGGAGAATGGGGTGGGGTGATAGAAAGCGGGAGAATGGGGCGAGGTGATGGAAAGAGGGAGAATGGGGAGGGGTGATGAAAAGAGGGAGAATTGGGCGGGGTGATGGAAAGCGGGAGAATGGGGCGGGGTGATGGAAAGAGAAGAATTGGGTGGGGTGATGGATAGAGGGAGAATGGGGCGGGGTGATGGAAAGCGGGAGAATTGGGCGGGGTGATGGATCGAGGGAGAATGAGGCAGGGTGATGGAAAGCAGGAGAATGGAGCGGGGTGATGGAAAGCGGGAGAATGGGGCGGGGTGATGGAAAGCGGGAGAATGGGGCGAGGTGATGGAAAGCGGGAGAATGGGGTGGGGTGATGGAAAGAGGGAGAATAGGGAGAGGTGATGGAAAGAGGGAGAATTGGGCGCGGTGATGGAAAGCGGGAGAATAGAGCGGGGTGATGGAAAGCGGGAGAATGGGACGGGGTGATGGAAAGTGGGAGAATGGGGCGAGGTGATGAAAAGAAGGAGAATGGGGCCTGGTGATGGAAAGCGGGAGAACGGGGAGGGGTGATGGAAAGAGGGAGAATGGGGCGGGGTGATGGAAAGCGGGAGTTTGGGGCGGGGTGATGGAAAGCGGGAGAATGGAGCGGGGTGATGGAAAGCGGAAGAATGGGGCGGGGTGATAGAAAGTGGGAGAATGGAGCGGGGTGATGGAAAGAGGGAGAATGAGGCGGGGAGATGGAAGGCGGGAGAATGGGGCGGGGTGATGGAAAGAGGGAGAATGGGGCGGGGTGATGGAAAGAGGGACAATGGGGCGGGGTGATGGAAAGCGGGAGAATGGGGCGGGGTGATGGAAAGAGGGATAATGGGGCGGGGTAATAGAAAGCGGGAGAATGTGGCGGGGTGATGGATAGAGGGAGAATGGGGCGGGGTGATGGAAAGCGGGAGAATGGGGCGGGGTGATGGAAAGCGGGAGAATGGGGCGGGGCGATTGAAAGAGGGAGAATGGGGCGGGCTAATGGAAAGAGGGAGAATGGGGCGGGGTGATGGAAAGCGGGAGAATGGGGCGGGGTGATGGAAATCGGGAGAATGGGGCGGGGTGATGGAAAGAGGGAGAATGGGGTGGGGTGATGGAAAGCGGGAGAATGGGGTGAGGTGATGGAAAGAGGGAGAATGGGGAGGGGTGATGAAAAGAGGGAGAATTGGGCGGGGTGATGGAAAGCAGGAGAATGGGGCGGGGTGATGGAAAGAGAAGAATTGGGTGGGGTGATGGATAGAGGGGGAATGGGGCGGGGTGATGGAAAGCGGGAGAATTGGGCGGGGTGATGGATCGAGGGAGAATGGGGCAGGGTGATGGAAAAAGGGAGAATGGGGCGGGGTGATGGAAAGCGGGAGAATGGGGCGGGGTGATGGAAAGCGAGAGAATGGGGCGGGGTGATGGAAAGAGGGAGAATGGGGCGGGCTGATGGAAAGAGGGAGAATGGGGCGGGGTGATGGAAAGGGGGAGAATGGGGCGGGGTGGTGGAAATCGGGAGAATGGGGCGGGGTGATGGAAAGAGGGAGAATGGGGTGGGGTGATAGAAAGCGGGAGAATGGGGCGAGGTGATGGAAAGAGGGAGAATGGGGAGGGGTGATGAAAAGAGGGAGAATTGGGCGGGGTGATGAAAAGCGGGAGAATGGAGCGGGGTGATGGAAAGCGGGAGAATGGGGCGGGGTGATTGAAAGCGGGAGAATGGGGTGGGGTGATGGAAAAAGGGAGAATGGGGCAGGGTGATGGAAAGAGGGAGAATGGGGTGGGGTGATGGAAAGAGGGACAATGGGGCGGGGTGATGGAAAGCGGGAGAACGGGGCGGGGTGATGGAAAGCGGGAGAATGAGGCGGATGATGGAAAGAGGGAGAATGGCTTGGGGTGATGGAAAGCGGGAGAATGGGGCAGGGTGATGGAAAGCGGGAGAATGGGGCGGGGTGATGAAAAGCGCGAGAATGGGGCGGGGTGATGGAAAGCGGGAGAATGGGGCGGGGTGATGGAAAGAGGGAGAATGGGGCGGGGTGATGGAAAGCGGGAGAATGGGGCGGGGTGATGGAAAGAGGAAGAATGGGGAGGGGTAATGGGAAGAGGGAGAACTGGGCGGGCTGATGGAAAGCGGGAGAATGGAGCGGGGTGATGGAAAGCGGGAGAATGGGGCGGGGTGATGGAAAGCGGGAGAATGGGGCGGGGTGATGGAAAGCGGGAGAATGGGGCGGGGTGATGGAAAGAGGGAGAATGGGGCGGGCTGATGCAAAGAGGGAGAATTGGGCGGGGTGATGGAAAGTGGGACAATGGGGAGGGGTGATGGAAATCGGGAGAATGGGGTGGGGTTATGGAAAGTGGGAGAATGGGGCGGGGTGATGGAAAGGGGGAGAATGGGGCGGGGTGATGGAAAGCGGGAGAATGGGGCGGGGTGATTGAAAGTGGGAGACTGGGGCGGGGTGATGGAAAGACGGAGAATAGGGCGGGGTGATGGAAAGCGGGAGAACGGGGCGGGGTGATGGAAAGAGGGAGAATGGGGCGGGGTGATGGAAAGAGGGAGAATGGGGCGGGGAGATGGAAAGCGGGAGAATGGGGCGCGTGATGGAAAGCGGGGTGATGGAAAGCGGGAGAATGGAGCGGGGTGATGGAAAGAGGGAGAATGGGGCGGGGTGATGGAAAGCGGGAGAATGGGGCGGGGTGATGGAAAGAGGGAGAATGGGGCGGGGTGATGGAAAGGGGGAGAATGGGGCGGGGTGATGGAAAACGGGAGAATGGGGTGGGGTGATGGAAAGCGGGAGAATGGGGCAGGGTGATGGAAAGCGGGAGAATGGGGCGGGGTGATGGAAAGAGGGAGAATGGGGCAGGGTGATGGAAAGCGGGAGAATGGGGCGGGGTGATGGAAAGAGGGAGAATGGGGCAGGGTGATGGAAAGCGGGAGAATGGGGCGGGGTGATGGAAAGAGGGAGAATGGGGCGGGGTGATGGAAAGGGGGAGAATGGGGCGGGGTGATGGAAAACGGGAGAATGGGGTGGGGTGATGGAAAGCGGGAGAATGGGGCGGGGTGATGGAAAGCGGGAGAATGGGGCGGGGTGATGGAAAGAGGGAGAAAGGGGCGGGGTGATGGAAAGTGGGAGAATGGGGCGGGGTGATGGAAAGCAAGAGAATGGGGCGGGGTGATGGAAAGCGGGAGAATGGGGCGGGGTGATGGAAAGCCGGAGAATGGGGCGGGGTGATGGAAAGCAGGAGAATGGGGCGGGGTGATGGAAAGCTTGGGAATGTGGCGGGGTGATGGAAAGCGGGAGAATGGGGCGGAGTGATAGAAAGCGGGAGAATGGGGCGGGGTGATGGAAAGCGGGAGAATGGGGCGGGGTGATGGAAAGAGGGAGAATGGGGCGGGGTGATGGAAAGCGGGAGAATGGGGCGGGGTGATGAAAAGCGGAAGAATGGGGCGGGGTGAAGAAAAGCGGGAGAATGGGGCGGACAGATGGAAAGAGGGGGAATGGGGCGGGGTGATGGAAAGAGGGAGAATGGGGTAGGGTGATGAAAGGCGGAAGAATGGGGCGGGGTGATGGAAAGAGGGAGAATGGGGCGGGGTGAAGAAAAGCAGGAGAATGGGGCGGGTCGATGGAAAGAGGGAGAATGGGGCGGGGTGAATGGGGCTGGGTGATGGAAAGCGGAAGAATGGGGTGGGGTGATGGAAAGCAGGAGAATGGGGCGGGGTGATGGAAAGCGGGAGAATGGGGTGGGGTGATGGAAAGCGGGAGAATGGGGCGGGGTGATGGAAAGCGGGAGAATGGGGCGGGGTGATGGAAAGAATGAGAATGGGGCGGGGTGATGGAAAGCTTGTGAATGGGGCGGGGTGATGGAAAGCGGGAGAATGGGGCGGAGTGATAGAAAGCGGGAGAATGGGGCGGGGTGATGGAAAGCGGGAGAATGGGGTGGGGTGATGGAAAGCGGGAGAATGGGGCGGGGTGATGGAAAGCGGGAGAATGGGGCGGGGTGATGAAAAGCGGAAGAATGGGGCGGGGTGAAGAAAAGCGGGAGAATGGGGCGGACTGATGGAAAGAGGGGGAATGGGGCGGGGTGATGGAAAGAGGGAGAATGGGGTAGGGTGATGAAAAGCGGAAGAATGGGGCGGGGTGATGGAAAGAGGGAGAATGGGGCGGGGTGATGCGTCAACTCCCCTGTAAGAGCGTCAACTCCTCTATAAGAGTGTCAACTCCCCTATAAGAGCGTCAACTCTCCCTTTACATCTTTAACTCTCATATAAAAGTGTCAACTCCCATTTAAAAGTGTCAACTATCATAAAAGAGCGTCAACTCTTCTATAAGAGCGTCAACTCCCCTATTAGAGCGTAAACTTCCCTATAAGAGCGTCAACTCCCCTATAAGAGAGTCAACTCCCCTATAAAAGCGTGAACTCCCCTATAAAAGTGTCAGTTCTCCTATAAGAGCGTCAACTCTCCTATAAGAGAGTCAACTCCCCCATAAAAGCGTCAACTCTCATATCAAAGCATCAACTCCCCCTATAAGAGCGCCAACTTCCCTATAAGAGTGTCAACTTCCCTATAAGAGCGTCAACTCCTCTATAAGAGCGTCAACTCCCCTATAAGAGCGTCAACTCCCCTATAAGAGTGTCAACTCCCCTATAAGACCGTCCACTCCCCTATAAGAGGGTCAACTCCCTTATAAAAGCGTCAACTCCTCTATAAAAGCATCAACTCTCATATAAGAGCGTCAACTCTCCCATAAGAGCGTCAACTCCCCTATAAGAGCGTCAACTCCCCAACAAAAGCGTCAACTCTGATATAAAAGCATCAACTTCCCCATAAAAGTGTCGACTCTCATTTAAAAGCGTCAACTCGCATATAAGAGAATCAACTCCCCTAAAAGAGCATCAACTCTATGAGAGCGTCAACTTTCCTATAAGAGCGTCAACTCCCCTATAAGAGCGTCAACTTCCCTATAAAAGCGTCAACTCCCTATAAAAGCGTATGCTCTCCTATAAGTGCGTCAATTCTCCTATATGAGCGTCAACTCCCCCATAAACGCGTCAACTCTCATATTATAGCATCAACTCTCCTAAAAGAGCGTCAACTCCCCTATAAGATGTCAACTCCTCTATAAGAGCGTCAACTCCCCTATAAGAGCGTCAACTTTCCTATAAGAGCGTCAACTCCCCTATAAAAGCGTCAACTCTCCTATAAGAGCGTCAACTCCCCTATAAGAGCGTCAACTCCCCCATAAAAGCGTCAACTCTCATATAAAAGCGTCAACTCCCCTAGAAGAGAGTCAACTCTCCTATAAGAGCGTCAACTCTGCTATACGAGCGTCAACTCCCCTACAAGAGCGTCAACTCTCCTATAAGAGCGTCAACTCCCATATAAAAGCGTCAACTCTCATATAAGAGTGTCAACTCCCCCATAAAAGTGTCAACTCTCATTTAAGAGCGTCAACTCTCATATAAGAGCATCAACTCCCCTATAAGAGCGTCAACTCCCCTATAAAAGCGTCAACTTCCCTATAAGAGCGTCAACTCCTCTATAATAGCATCAACTCTTCTATAAAAGCGTCAACTCCCCTATAAAAGCATCAACTCCCCTATAAGAGCGTCAACTCCCCTAAAAAAGCGCCAACTCTCCTATAAATGCGTCAACTCTCATATAAGAGCGTCAACTCTCCTATAAGAGTGTCAACTCCCCTATAAGAGCGTCAACTTCCCTATGCAAGCGTCAACTCCCCCATAAAAGCGCCAGCTCTCCTGTGAGAGCGTCAACTCCCCCACAAAATCGTCAACTCATATATAAGGGCGTCAACTCCCCTATAAGAGCGTCAACTCTCCTATGAAAGCGTCAACTTTCATGTAAAAGCGTCAACTCTCATATAAGAGCATCAACTCCCCTATAAGAGCGTCAACTCCCCTATAAGAGCGTCAAATTCCCTATAAGAGCGTCAACTCCCCTATGTGAGCGTCAACTCCCCTATCAAATCGTCAACTCCCCTATAAAAGCGTCAGCTCTCCTATAAGAGCGTCAACTCTCCTATAAGAGCGTCAACTTCCCCATAAAAGCGCCAGCTCTCATATAAAAGCGTCAACTCCCCTATAAGAGCGTCAGCTCTCCTATAAAAGCGTCAACTCCCCTATAAAAGCGTCAACTCTCATATAAGAGCGTCAACCCCCCTATCAGAGCGTCAATTCCCCTATAAGAGTGTCAACTTCCCTATAAGAGCGCCATTTTCCCTATAAGAGCGTCAACTCCCCTATAAAAACAACAACTCTCCTATAAGAGCGTCAACTCTCCTATAAAAGCGTCAACTCCCCCATAAATGCAACAACTCTCATATAAGAGTGTCAACTCCCCTATAAGAGCGTCAATTCCCCTATAAGAACGTCAACTCCCCTATAAGAGCATCAACTCCCCTATAAGAGTGTCAACTTCCCTATAAGAGTGTCAACTCCCCTATAAGAGCGTCAACTCCCCTATAAGTTCGTCAACTCCCCTATAAGAGCATCAACTCCCCTATAAGAGTGTCAACTCCCCAATAAGAGCGTCAACTCCCCTATAAGAGCGTCAACTCCCTTATAAAAGCGTCAACGCCTCTATAAAAGAGCGTCAATTCTCATATAAGAGCGTCAACTCTCATATAAGAGCGTTAACTCTCATATAAGAGCGTCAACTCTCATATAAGAGCGTCAACTCTCCTATGAGAGCGTCGACTCCCCTATAAGAGCGTCAACTCCCCTACAAAAGCGTCAACTGTAATATAAAAGCGTCAACTCCCCCATAAAAGTGTCAACTCTCATTTAAAAGCGTCAACTCGCATATAAGAGCATCAACTCTCGTAAAAGAGCGTCAACACCCTAAGAGCGTCAACTTCCCTATAAGAGCGTCAACTCTCCTATAAGAGTGTCAACTTCCCTATAAATGCGTCAACTCCCCTATAAAAGCGTCAGCTCTCCTATAAGTGCGTCAACTCTCCTATAAAAGCGTCAACTCCCCCATAAAAGCGTCAACTCTCATATAAAAGCACCAACTCTCCTATAAGAGCGTCAACTCCCCTATAAGAGTGTCAACTCCCCTATAAGAGCGTCAACTCCCCTATAAGAGCGTCAACTCTGCTATACGAGCGTCAACTCCCCTATAAGAGCGTCAACTCCCCTATAAGAGCGTCAACCCCCCTATAAGAGCGTGAACTCCCCTATAAGAGCGTCAACTCCTCTACAAAAGCGTCAACTCTCATATATAAGCGTCAACTCCCCCATAAAAGTGTCAACTCTCATTAAAAAGCGTCAACTCTCATATAAGAGCATCAACTCCCCTATAAGAGCGTCAACTCCCCTATAAAAGTGTCAACTTCCCTATAAGAGCGTCAACTCCCCTATAAGAGCGTCAACTTCCCTATAAAAGGGTCAACTCCCCTATAAAAGCATCAACTCCCCTATAAGAGCGTCAACTCCCCTATAACAGCGTCAACTTCCCTATAAAAGCGTCAACTCCCCCATAAAAGCGCCAGCTCTCCAATGAGAGCGTCATCTCTCATATGAAAACGTCAACTTCCCTATATGAGCGTCAACTCTCCTAAAAACACATCAACTCCTCTTTAAAAGCGTCAACTCATAGATGAGAGCGTCAACTCTCCTATAAGAGCGTCAACTCCCTCATAAAAGCGTCAACTCTCATATAAAAGTGTCAACTCCCCTACAAGAGCGCCAACTTCCCTATAAGAGTGTCAACTCCCCTATAAGAGCGTCAACTCCCCTATAAGTTCGTCAACTCCCCTATAAGAGCATCAACTCCCCTATAAGAGTGTCAACTCCCCAATAAGAGCGTCAACTCTCATATAAGAGCGTCAACTCTCCTATGAGAGCGTCGACTCCCCTATAAGAGCGTCAACTCCCCTACAAAAGCGTCAACTGTAATATAAAAGCGTCAACTCCCCCATAAAAGTGTCAACTCTCATTTAAAAGCGTCAACTCGCATATAAGAGCATCAACTCTCGCATACAAAAGCGTCAACTGTAATATAAAAGCGTCAACACCCTAAGAGCGTCAACTTCCCTATAAGCGCGTCAGCTCTCCTATAAGAGTGTCAACTTCCCTATAAATGCGTCAACTCCCTTATAAAAGCGTCAGCTCTCCTATAAGTGCGTCAACTCTCCTATAAAAGCGTCACCTCCCCCATAAAAGCGTCAACTCTCATATAAAAGCGTCAAGTCCCCTATAAAAACAACAACTCTCATATAAGAGTGTCAACTCCCCTATAAGAGCGTCAACTCCCCTATAAGAACGTCAACACCCCTACAAGAGCGTCAACTCCCCTATAAAAGCATCAACTCCCCTATAAAAGCGTCAACTCTCATATAAGAGCGTCAACTCCCCTATAAGAGCGTCAACTCCCCTCTAAGAGCGTCAACTTCCCTATAAAGCGTCAACTCCCCTATAAAAGCGTCAGCTCTCCTATAAGTGCGTCAACTCTCCTATAAAAGCGTCAACTCCCCCATAAATGCGTCAACTCTCATATAAAAGCATCAACTCTCCTATAAGAGCGTCAACTCCCCTATAAGAGTGTCAACTCCCCTATAAGAGCGTCAACGCCCCTACAAGAGCGTCAACATAAGATCGTCAACTCCCCTATAAAAGCGTCAACTCTCCTAAAAGAGCGTCTACTCCCCTATAAGAGCGTCAAATCCCCCATAAAAGCGTCAACTCTCATATAAAAGCGTCAACTCCCCTATAAGAGCGTCAACTCCCCTATAAGAGCGTCAACTCTTCTATACGAGCGTCAACTCCCCTATAAGAGCATCAACTCCCCATTCTCCCGCTTACCATCACCCCGCCCCATTCTCCCGCTTTCCATCACCCCGCCCCATTCTCCCGC